AAATACAGACCAGTTGAGAACTAATTTGAAAGAACTTATACGAGGTTTAATTGTATAAATTATGTTTCTTTTTTATTTCTTATTTGCACCTCACAATAGTAAAGTTTTGACACATAAAAGTAATACACCGTGAATACATAGGCGGACTTATCCCAGATAAGAGATATCTACTAATTATTTTCAATCGATTTCAAAAAGAAGGAGATTCTCAATTTGGAAATATTTTTTTATATATTTGTTACCTCATACTTCGTTAGTTGTAAATTAACAGTTAATTCCATAGAAATTTTATCAAAATTAATTTAAATCAAAATAACTGGTTTTACCACTTAAAGTTAGTTTTTTGAAACACAATTTATTATTTATTCCTTCTCAAATATTTAGTGTATTTAGAAATATAAAATAACAAAAGATATACCTACTAGTAATGCAAATTTTTATATCTCGAACAGATTTTTGAATTTCTTTGGTTGTTTATACAAAAGCTGCATGTGGACATGAAGGTATACAAGTACAATAGAGTCTAACAACATCAAATGATTAAACATATACAAGAATATTCATAAATTTATAAATAAACACTGCGTCACCGTGCGTATAGCAATACATAGAATAATATTATCTGTGGCAATACTAAAACAATAACGGTGATGGCCAATTTGTTGTGTAGCAGTTACAAAGCCCAATATAGGTATAACCATGTGTCAACGTAACGACTGGACGATGCAATTTATTAATTGAAGTCTACGTCTATTTGAACTAACCAATGTGGGGTTAGACAAAGAGAACTCGTGAACAGTCTGCTAAATCAACCATAAAGTACCCAACCACAGAGCGGATATCGTAAGCAAAATATCCAGAGAGCGCTCGTTTTCAAAGTCAAAGCAATTGATTGCTTCTTCATTGAACTTCTAAAAACAGGTTCTCGTCAACTTGTCTTCTTTTATGTATAGTTAGGTGGATTGTAAACCGATTTTGGTGATTTTGATTTTAATAGAAAATGCTTTTAAGCTGTTGATAACCAATCGAAGATTAGGATGTAATGTAGAAATAATAAAGATGACAATTCTATTTACAATTTCCATGCACTGATAAGCTACGGAACTGATATATAAGATAACACAATATATGTATTTTGGATATATGTATTTATATATTTTTTTAAAGATGTTTGGATACGGTACTGAATCACGTTTAAAGGGCGGGAAAGAAACATATTTTTTTATGCAATTAATACCTATATAATTGCATTTTATGTTTTTTGTTTTAATTTTATAATAATATACGACAATGTGCTTATACTAATAATATATGGTAAACAGGAAAATTGCTTCATGAAATAAAAATATTAAAGGAATAATAAATAACATGTATCAGAAACCAGCTTTTACTGCACTCAATTTAAATGGTCGTGATACCTGAACACACCTGTCAACAAGGAGTGCACTGTAGGGTTTTTTGTCATCGGATACTGCGCGCGCGATCGACCGTGACCTCTGAACGAGGGCAAATGCAAGGCAAAATGGTCGCGATACACGCTGTAGATAAATAGCTTACTATAATTCATTCGCATTAATAGAGAACTATCACATATAATTATAGTTCAATTGAATTATTTAAAAAATAATAAAAACTGCATTAATTTTTCTATATAATTAAGTTTTATTATATATTTTTTTTCCTTCTTAGGAAAGTATAATTACTATAACTTAATAAATTAATTTAAATTTTACCAGAGAGAGACTTTGTACAAAAGTCGATTGCTTGGGTACCTCTGTCCCATTCGTGTTTCAACTGTGAAGCACTTGTATTTGCATGGCTGTGTTTCAGTTTGAAGGGTGGGATATGGTGTGAATTTACTGGGTACAGAAAAATAACACCTGAGTCCTCAGGAATGGCAACACATGGGGGGTATCATGGGCGAAACAGTATACTCTGTTATGTCCATGGTACTGCTCATGTCTATAGGCGATGGTTACCACTTTCCATCAGGTGGGCCTTCAGTTTGTTTGCCATTCTAAGTTGTATAAAAAAAAACTTTAACTTATTTCCCTTTAAATTCTATAGTATTTTATACTTCTCTAATAGACTAAATCAGCATTAACTGGTGTCCATAAAAATTATAAAAAAAAAGGTTTTTTAAGAGTATTTGACAGATATATTTTTTAACTTTAAGCCTACAAATGTCTCTGTGGAGTGCAATTCTAAATTCTATTTTCTATACCAATATAGTAACATGACAAATATATAAATAAAAAGAGGAAGGGATTGTTAGCTATGCAAACTGTCAGTCCCATTATTAGCAATATATGGTATAATTAAAGGTATACCGATAGCACGGGCAGGGTTGTCAATTCATTATCATTCATTAAAAAAACTACTGGTTCTCATTTCTTTTTGAGCCATTTAAAACAATTTTTTTTCATAAGATGGGCTGTATGATTATTTGACACCCTTGTGGTATAAAAAAAAATATTCGGCAATTTTACACAAATTTTAATAATTATTTTTGCAATTTGATAGATATAAACTTTGTAAAAAATAGGATTTACATTAATTTAGTCAAAATAGCCACTGTTTTTTTTTTGCGAAACATAATTATAATTATATTTTTGTTAAAATCTAGGTATGTCAAATGAGTTATGTTTATCAATATTTTTAATTAATTGTAATATGTCCTGATCTTCATAAAAACCTAAAAAATCTGCTCCAACTTATAAATAGCAGAATCTACACGGAATATGTAATACTTACAAAAATTTATTAACATTTATAAAGACCGGAATTTTTATAAATTTTAACCAATATTAAAATTTTACATCAACACTACTACCTCCCTATATGTCTAAAGTTACATATATCACATTTTTTTTTTTAATTTATAAATATCACATTTTTTTTTTTAATTTATAAATAAAGTAAGTGATTTTTTTTTAATTGCAAACATCAATATTTTTCATTTTGATATTTTTAAAACATTTAACTTTGCATGCTCTACTTATGATATCAGAAATGGAAGTTTCTTTATTTATATTGTATGAATTCTTTGTCTACATGACAAATTTATATTATTGGTGAATATTAATTGGTATTCAAAAGCATTTGCTTTAGAACACCAATTTCAGCAATGATGATTAAAAATACATGTTAATAATATATTTAATAATAAGGCATTTATGTATTTTTTTAATTAAATACAAAATTAAATGAAGTGTACAACTAGCCACAACTAGCTATTTTAAAAGTAGATACTACTTTTTAAAATGTTTTACATTTTAAAGTTTATATATTACTTTTCTGTTTAAAAACTTGACCAATTATAGTTAAATTTGATACAAATATAATAGCTATAAATAATAAAAAAACAACATAGGCTACCTAAACTTCCTCTTGATCGATCTAAATGTTTCATTCCAGCTGTTCAAGTAGAGGGTATAGTTAGTATTGTAAAAAATAATAGTAATAGCCAAATAATTTATCTAACTTACAAATAATGGTACCAAATTAATAATTCCAATGATAACTTTGTTAGAGTAAAATTATATTCATTCTTAATAATTAATTAGCTAAAAGCTACACATTAAAAATGAACTGATGTGAAAAATATTACGGGCCTTTCCTTGTGTTGGAGCAATTATTAGACCTTGTTAAAATGTGATGATTAGTCATCAAAATACAAACGGTCAAAGCAACAATTACAGGTAGATCCACTTTTAATTGGTGGACACTTTTTTACAAAGTTAGAGATCGCAGATTATCTTTATATAATTTTACATTCACAATGTGATGGACGATTCGTGAAAAAAAAAATCTTTCTTTAATCTTAAAACCTATCGGAACAAAACGGAAATGGCGTTAAAATTTTACGGTTAGATAGGAGTTTCCTGAAGCATTGAATATGCAATTTATAGTAAATAGAAAATTTTAAAATTTGCTGTCGGCAAAAGACCCTTATAAATCATGTAATTATCAATTACAATTAGAAAATAACTTACCTTTCTAAATTAATTGACAGCTACAAACACAGCACTAGAAAATTCATTGACTGACTATCAATACTGACAACATGCTAAGCAAAACAATCTTATTTGCTATTTTTTCTCTTTTTGTTGATGACTTCATGAAGCTCAATAATCATATTAAGTCTCAGATAAATTACTATATATATAATTACTAGATTTTACCCGCGAATTCGTCCGCGTAACAGGGATATGTTTACTTACGGATATAAAAGTAGTCTAGCCTTCTCCAACCCATGTATTACGTGTATACCAAGTTTTATAGTGATTGTATAAAATATTAAGACGCTATATCTAACAAACTCACTTTCACATTTATAATATTAATAAGGACCGATATCTCTCTATTAAATCCTATATCGTGTTGAAATCTGTTATTGAGTCCGCAAGTACTAAGCAGTCCAATTCGATAATTATTTTAAAATGCGCAACTATTTTAATATTTGGTTTGAAAAGTATAAAAGGTAGGTAATAATATATGGTAATAGCATGTAAATTAAAAGGAGTTGAAATTAGATTAAAGCTTTTTTTATTTTAATTACCAAATTATATACTAGGTCTAAATTTTTTTTTCAATCGTAGTATCCCTTACACAGTTGTTGTGATGTCATTAAATATTAGAAGAATGTTTTAGTTATTAATTATCATAGATTTTATATGTCAAACAACTATGTAAGATTTTCAGTTTATTAAATTGTAATATTCATATTAGGTAGTTAATAAGAATGAAAGTAAAATTCACCAAAATTTTAGGCTTTAATAAACTGAAAATAATAAGAAAATAAAATAAATAGTGACTCAGAATTAATGTCAAAGCTCCGTACACGGTCGTACAGCAGCTTGATTACAACCAACAAACATACTCTAATCATATATTAAAGTCATGTCGAATCATAGAATAAGTACGTACATAAAATATTTGTTCTGATTATAATCTGTGTGCATGACATATGACTTCGCATTCGCAACTGACATTTGCAGTCTCTGACAATCTCTCTGACGACTTCGACCACAGAGTACTTTCGTCAGATGTTATCAGACTTTTACGTGTGAATAAAATAATATTCCTATAAATTCCTATCCTAAATGTAAACCATCTTATTGGCATTATTTTGGGAAGTAGGTAGTGAAAATAAAACTGAAGGTTTTTATCATATTTTTATCTGCAAAGTAAAATTGAGTCGCTTTATTGAAAAGCTGTGGTGTATATTTATAGTGACATCGCATGTGATAAATCTTAACAAACTTGCCTATCTGATACTTGAATCATGTAAATATCTAAATTTATTTGTACATTTTCTATAGCTTGTGGATGAGAATGTCTAGTTTTGGTATAGGAGTGTATTTTTTGAGTGTTATATGGTTTATAACTCTCATGTTGTGTTGGGTATCCGTTCGAACTGGGCATTACATTGGAAAAGTTTCGGTTGCCGTATCTTTTGTACTAACTATCGTACTTATATCAATGCCAAAAGGGGACGCGCATCATTATAGTGCCAACTTTTATGACCGATTGTTTGTTTTACGATACGCAGTCCTCTCTCTGTTGCTTGCTAGTTGTGTCGGTGGTTCAGTATTTCTTTTTATACATGTCTGCCTAACTCCAATTGAAACTCGTAAAGTCAGAAGTTTCGGTATCGTAAACTAATTTTGGCTTGGTAAGTTACTGTAATGTTATACATGCAAAAGTATTGAATGATAGTATTAGAATATATAATATAGTTTACTAATGAATTAATACTGTAATTATATTTAAATATATGAACTGTAAATACCTATACTTATTATATAGTTTGTATAATGTACCTAAATTTATACTCAACAAAATTTATAATATTCTGTAGCAATCTAGTTATTGATATATATTTTATAACTTTGTTTTTATTATATTAATGAAAATAATATTAAGTATATTATATTGCATATAAATAAAATAATATTAAATGCATTATGTTATATATGCAGACATAATGTTTAAATTCTGTGTATATATGTTACATATATATAGTACACATTATTTAAATTGTCTGCATTAAAAAAATAAATAGAAAAAGCACAATTTTTTTTACTCAGGTATACTGTTTTATAGTTGCATGGGGTGGTATTGAATTTGTGACTATGATATTGTTCTCTTTTTAATAATAAACAGTGGTTACCTACTTAATATAGACATTTATATAATTTTCTAGCTTTTATTGGCTGATCCATTGTTAATTAAAATAATTAAAGTGCAACATACTACAGTAGTTATGTGCAATATGATTATGTGTTATGAACATTACCATTATGCACACTATTTACCAATTTTGCTCCTAAATAAATCCAATCTTATTTACTTTGTACAATTTCCCTTAACTTTCTTATAAATTAATGTAATGATTAGTTCTTGCTATTCACTTACATATTTCCTCTTTCAACATTTCATTTCATAAATACTGTTTCAAGCTTGGTTTTAATCTTGGTTGTTTACATTTTTACATGATTTACAAATTCATGATATTATTACCATAGTTTTACATATTTGATGTGTACATCAACATAATGATTCTCTGTCTCTCTATTAAAACCTTTATAAAAAAAAAGAACTCAGGTCTGGATTAATTCTTAGCTTAAACAATCTATATTAATAATAGAATTCTTAATGAAATTTTTATTGTTTATTGATATAATCAACAAATATTGAGCCTTCTATTCTAGTTAAAATTATTTATTTATTATATTGCATTCATGTACATAATATAGAGTTATTAAAATGTTCTTATGTAGAGTAGGTACATGAACCCTGTTTAGGTGTAGCAAAATTTTATTGATAGGTAGCTAATATACATGCATTAATGGCAATTTAGTTGACAGATTATATTTAATTATTTTACATATAATTGCTAGTTTTTAAATAAATTTGTCTTGCAATAATTTCAATTTACATTAAATAAATGAATTATTCTGTTCATTCATGGCTCATTCAGCTGTTCAATTCGATTGGAATGCTCAAAATTATTTGCTAATCATAATATTCTGTTAAATTTTTCAGATACAATGTCTAATGGAATATGCCAAAGTTTATGGTCACCTGTCAGAAGACTGGTGAAATTGAAGAGGGTGAGACACATCTCTACATCACTAGTTCACAATGAGACAATTTTAGTTAAGAATAATAACGAATTTGTTACTAAGGTGAGCACTTTTCTAGTTTATACTGTTAATATTATAAATATGAAAAATTATAAAGATGTTCAGAGGTCAAACATGATTAAACAACTTGATAGATTTGAATGAAATTTAATACCCAAATAGACTTTAATAAACACAAATTATTTTTACCCAAATTCATGCAATTAAAGTCACACATACAGTTAATATAAAAATATAAAGCAGAAACAATTTTAAATACTATTATTTTGTTAAATTGCTAAGGTGTTAGTTATATCATTATACTTTTTTTTTAACTCTAATAGCATAGACAATAATATTGAATGCTTGCCAATAAATATTTGAATGTCAAATATAGAAAAACTAAAATAGATACTAATTGGTGTTATCATTATAATTACATTTATTAATTGTCCACTGATAAAGATAGATTTTTGCCATTAACATATGGGCATTCCATAAGAAATATTTTTCTGTATAACTAGTTCTAGTCTTGCTAGTATAATAAAATTATAACTAGACAATATATGTACATGGGAGATATTTAAGAAAAAATAATATTTAGGGTATGACCATTAGATGCCAAAAGAATAATATTTTAGCATACTCTCTGTCTGTGTGTATGTTTGTTCCAACATCACCCAAAAATTACTTAAAAGTACGAAATTGGATGTGGTTATCACAGTTGTATTCCTGAATGTGAACTTAAAATCTGTTGTATATTTTAACTTGATACAACATTTACAAGTGATATACATATTTCATTGGTTTTTTAATTTCTGAAATTTATGCATACGTAAATAATTTGTTCTTATCATTAATCTAATGAAACAATGTCACCACTGATAAGAACTTTGACGTTGCTATGATATACAAAAGCAGGTTCAAAATTTAACATGTTACAGAAAAAAACTGACTTCAGTTGTGGTAAAACCAGTTATATTGATATAAAAACTAAAGTAATGATTGTGATAAAATTTCCAAGCCAATCTTATATATATCTTTTAGGAAGGAAAAAGATTTTTCCATTTCAGTTTATAATTAACACAGATTTATGAAAAAGTAAACATAAAAAAACCAACAAAGTTACAAATTGACGATGTATAAGAATTCTCTTTATTGATGAGTATCCTTATAAGACATTAAAAAACAAGTAAATAAATACAATTTATGATTAAAACAACTGGGCTGCTGTATTTTGTCAGAGAATCATATAAATGAGTCATTGCCAAGCATATTGTTTGTCATATAATTTGATAAGGAGTGCCCTGTGATGCTCATATAATGCTGACATATTGCAGAACTCATTACACATTACATGTGATAAAGGAAAATAAGTACTTCATAGTTTATTCATTAAGGGCTATACAAAGATTGAACTTTTTTGTGTTTTAAAAAATTGAACAAAACTGCATTATATAACTTGCACCACTTGTGTGTATTATGTGCTGATACTCAGCTAAAATGTAACATGTCTGTTCTATATTAAAAAAGACTGCACTTTATAAATATTATTTATCAAAATTAATTAGCTAATACTTATAAAACACATTAAAGAAATGTGTATGTGATACAGTTAAAACAAATCTAGCTATAATATATTATATAATATATTTTTGTTAAGTATTTTTTAAGAACACATTTGTGTAAATTTCATACAATTTGGAAGTTTTATGTAATGCTGGAACAAAAATACAGAGTTTTTAGAATTTAAAAAAAATCAATGAAAATCCTAAAATCTACTAATTTGTTTTTTTTTTTTAATGTTTCTCAATTGAATTAATTCCTTTTATAAATTTTTCTTAAATATCTCTTACATACAAATACTGTCTAGTTACAATTTTCTTACATTAGTAAAATATAGACACAAAAATACTTGACCATTCAATATAGTTCAGAAGGTCATTATCTCTAATTATGATTGTCTTTGACTGCAGGTAATGAATAATGATAAGCCAGTGATAGTGAATTTCCACGCGGATTGGTGTGAGCCGTGCAAGATCCTCACGCCCAAACTTAAGGAGATGATTGAACCACTCAACAATCTGGACTTAGCTGTTGTTGATGTAGAGGATAATGCGGAATTGGTTCATGCTTTCGAGGTAAATAAGAATTACGAAAAGTACTAATTATACCACTTTCTATTATGTGTGCTGTTAGCTTGTTTGTCATTCTAATCTGCATAAAGGAAGAAATATTATAAACATACATTTTAAATTGATCCAACTCATATATATCAATATCGATATCAATCCAGTCTAATGGGGGGAAAAGGGATCGTTAGTAATGGAGACTGAGAATCCTATTGCTAGCAATATACCCAACCAGGTCGACCTCTTCGCGGTTCTCCCTGGAAACTATCATGGTTAATTCCTGATGAATTCATCATGATGGGCTAACTGGCCTGTTTTCATTCTCATCTATCACCCTTCACTGGTACTCCACCAGCGTATCTCGTTAGCACAGGCGGAGTTATCATACTATTTTCACCCATCCAAAAAAAAAATCTAGTGTAATGCCAATGACAATTTTGTATTACACTCATAACATAATAATTAGGAAATAAGATAAATTTGTTTGCAATAATTTGCATTAGCAGGTTATACTAATATGCATACATCAAAACAATATGGAACCATTATGTCGCTAGTACTGCAAGTGGAGTGTGCGAAACTTCTCAATCTCTAACATCGATCTATTGGAATTTATTTCAAGAGCAACCCCATATAATTCATTGTCTAAAGAATATCAAGTCATCATCTAAGATTTCGCTTCCCTAAATAGCAACTACAGCTGTGATAAAATTATTATTATATTAAAAATTTAATTCTCGTCGTCGTACGTCGTCTTCATAGTCTGATCTTAGTGAATTCGCCTCGATAGGCCAACTGACCTGACTTCATCCTCGCTTATCATCTCTCAAATTTTCCCCGCCAGTGCTAACTGAGCTGTGCACCAATATAACCACGATTCCATTTTCATCTGTTCGTATAAAAACATTAAAAGTTACTCCATGCCCATCAGTTAAATACTAAAGAGCTTGATAATTAGTTATTTTGTATTTTTAAATTTTAGGTGAAAGCAGTTCCCGCTGTTATAGCTATCAGAAATGGTTTAATAGTGGATAAATTCATTGGATTGGTTGACACAGATATGATTACAAATCTTATAGATCGAATGTCCGGTAACAAGAAGGAAGGATCATAAGAAATAATACCTATGTAATAAACACTTATATAATATGTATTATATTAAGAGTGAGATATATGATTCGTTAATCGATATTTTCAAGCATAGGCGTATTTAGAGGGAGGGGGAGGGGGCAGTGCAAACCCTAGAGTCGTCTGGTGCCCATTTCAGGATGTTGGCGAAACTAAATATGCATATTTGTAAAGTGCCAGGCCCTCCCCGTAAAATAATCTAAATTACGCCAGTGCTTTTAAGTATCAAAACCATTTATCAATAAACGGGATCGCGATAACATTGTGAATTAAAAGAAATCTGGCCATATTTTGATAATAGATATGACGTAGTTTCCAAATGTTAGATTTTAATGTACAATGAACTTTGTAACTAGGTTGCTGATTAATGTTTTATGCAATGTTTAATTAGTAATTATATTATTTCCTTATCTTGCCTTGTATCTAATGATAATTATTTTCAAATATTATATAATAATTATGTTTGCAATGTAAGAGCATCTATAACAATGCGTGAACGAATTATAATTTAGTTTTTTTTTTTTTTAATATGGAAATGAACTTTTAAATATAAATTGAAAATATGTTAATTTTTATTTAAATGGAGTTACATCTAAAGCGTCATCATTAATACAATTGGTTTTAAGAACCAGTATCAATTAAATTTATAACAGACAAGTTGAACCAGCAAATTCGGAGAGAAAATCCACTGCCACCTACCGATTGAATGTTTTCTTATTAGTATAAAACTATCGTGTTTGAATAAAAAATACTCATTTATAAAATTTCTTTAAATGAGTATTGTAACATGAGATTTTTGTTTATTATAAAAATATTTAAGTCGGAACTATTTTGAATTTAGTTCTTGATCTATAACATAATAATAACATAACCAGCGATTCTTAAAGTGGATTTCGTAAAAAAGGTTACCAGGGTTCCGCGAGATTTTTTCGAGAGAGAGTTCCGTGTGAAACAACTTCATTCTTCACATTAAAAGTTAAAGGATATTAAAAGCTTTTGTTTTTATTTCAATTACAGTGTTTTTGATTTGTAATAATTTGATACGGGATTCCATAAAATAAAAGGTATTTGTTGGATGTTCTGTTATTTTAAAAGTTTAGGAACCCCTGCACTAATCTTTTTTAGGGTCAGTTTTAAAAAATGACGTTCGGTACCAAAGTCAACATCATTATATATTAGCAGCTATTACAGCGGACTTCATTGAAATTATTAATGATCCGAGAGCAGACAGTTTGTGGAAATTATGAGTATAGTTATGGAAAGAGAAAATACTGCCAGTATCTTAGGAACACTGCTTAGATGTGACGCATTAGAAAATAGTCATTATGCTTAATGGTTCATTAATTGATATAACAATAAATTGTCATCAAAACCTTTTTAGATATTTCCATAGAAAATGGTCTGTTAGCTTCATCCCATGTTATGGGTGCTCAACATATATGCAGTTAAATCTAAGAACATTCTCGTACTTTGTTACATCTAATTATATATCGTATTAACATAAATTTACTAGTTTTTAAAGTATACGTGATATTTTTAGTTTTAGATGCTAAAATATTATAAATAAACTAAATACATGTACCTTATAAGCGTTTCCACAGAGACGTCATGTATAGTGCTTGTTGGTTTCGAAACAAGCATCTAGTGAAATGGTAGCTTAACTTACATGTAGTAGAAAGTACAGGTTCAAACCCCATCCATTTTGGAATTGTTTGTGATCACATAATAATCTTCACATTCTTATAATAAAGTTATAATTTAATAGATAGTCTTTACCTAAAGTATGTTTTGATATCTACAATTGAAATGTGTCAATAATCACAAGAAAAAGTGAAAAACAAATATACATAATGCCCTAGTCTATATAAGACTGTTTGTGTATTAATAAATACTTTATTTTTATTATCTCTATACTATATTATTGAAATATTGTATATAATAAAGTACCTAGATATATTGTGGATAACATGAAGTTATTAACAACATGTACAAATATTTAGGTCCATAATGAAGAAGTAGTATAAACTTGGATAGTAAAAAAATAGTGAATTTTGTAAAAAAACAATTGGAATTACTGTATATTTGATATAATTAGATATCCTCAGATCCGGCCTGCAGAATAATCTAGCTAGGTGACGGGCTATTTGGGAGCAGTGGAAATAATTTTGAATATTTTTTTTGTTTAATGATATACACTGGGATCGTTTTTAAAAAGTCATTTTCTATCTCTGAAACTACAATTTTTGTTAAATTTTACAATGTAACTGCAATTATAAGAATTAGTATAAATTAGAATAATGGGCAGAATTGAACCCAAATTACTTAGTGTTTAGTTTTTGGTTGTTTTTAACATGAGCGTTTAGATCAATTAAAATTTAATTTGATAGTTCATCATCTCGAAATTGACACTATTATCTCTTAAGTATGAGAAACAGCCTTAGTAAACTATTCAATAAATGAAAAAATCATTTCTCAAAGTTACGTGACATTAGTTCTCGCGCTGATATCCTGGACTGTCATGCTATATTCTACTATAGAGCAACATAACTTGTATTGAAAGCGCATTCATGTAATTCGCCTTCGACGTTAAGTTTATTATGCACGGTATCTGTCTCCTAGGTTGAAATTATTCACAATATTTTATTTTTAGTGTGCCATATATCAAAAGGAAAAATTTAACTCTTACAGGATCACTTGTCACTTGTCCGTCTGTCAAGACCCTTTTTCTCTGGAACACGTGGAGGTACCAAGTTGAAATTAATATTGAATACTTGAGTCTGCAATCCCTTGAAGTTGTAATATAATCAAACTTCTAAATTCATGCAATTAAAAGATGCAATCATTAATAGTGTATATTTTGATATTTACAAGAAAAACCTATAGGGTATAAGTAAAGGGAACAATCCTAAAACTGTTAATTTGCATTATAATTTATACTTAACCCTCGGCTTGCGAATCCGACTCGCACTTGGCCGGTTTATAGTTGTGATAAATACTTGGGCATTTATATAGTTTTCAAGCGACTTCCAACAGAGTGTCAATTGATCTGAATTTTTTTGTGGCTTATATATGTCTATGTCGCTGATCTATTTGTAGACACACGATACTGCGTCCAAATATTTTCAATGAAATGTGTCTAACGAACCGTCTCGACGTGTGTTCACGATTGAAGTTCTCTTACAACTTTTCGTTCTATTTAGCTTGCCTTATAATAAATTTGTTCATCAAAGTTACTGTGATGCTTCGCTTCTATTGTAAACATAAATATATTATTAAAATAATTATTCAAAAGTGAATGCATATTTAACGGTGTTCTATTGTGGCGTAAAATTTAAACCCCCTTATACATAAACACGTCAAATGTTTGTAAATGAGATAAGCGTATTTTAACTATTAAATTGTTTTGTCCTTTTCTGTTGTGTTAAATTTTCTATTTGAAAAACAGTGACAATACACTTCAATAGCTAAAATGGGTTTGTAAGAGGATTTAATTTTTATGAATAAGGGGGAAAACTAGTTTCTAACAGGTGCTATAATGTTATGCTGTGTCGGTTTTGTTGTTGCTCATATGCAGTAATAGTATCCATGTATACATATATTGTAATAGTGTGAATTTGTTTATATTCCATGTTTAGGTTTCTTAAAATATTATATTAATTAATGAGTCTGCTTATCTATATATGTATTCATAAAATGTTTAAATATTCTAGGAACTATAGTTCGTCTCTATCAGGTGAGCCGTCAGCTTGTTTGTTATTTTCAATAATATAAAAAAGTAGATACTTTTTTCTTTATGGATATTTTAAATCGTTTTTCGATCAAGTACAGAAATCTAACTCTGGGGAAAAAGCAATGGAGTCGAGCTTGTTTCAACTTTGGTGCTATTTAAATCCATCAGTTTTTACTTATCAATCAATGTAGTAGCTTGTTAAAGTTCTCCAGGGTTACTATAAGTATACATACATTTTTATAGAAGAAAATTATCGTTAAATAATTAAGCTTTATGTATTCATTTTTAGAAGTAAGGGAGGGTATTAATATAGCAATGTCTATATACTGTATTTACAATATCTATTCATATATTGGCCTAATAACATATATTAGAGATCGGTTATCCAATATATAATATCGAAAAGAAGAACTCGCTCGTAATTAATGATATTAAACTAGTATAGGCGATGTTGCAATCAATGTTCAGAAAATATCAATATACAGATATCGGATAATACCTATCTCTATTTAAGTATACATACTTTTTTTTTGATGGGTGAAAATGGTATGGTAACCCCGCCTGCGCTAACGGGATACGCTGGCAGAGCACCAGTGAAGGGTGATAGATGACAATGAAAACAGGCCAGTTAGCCCATCATGATGAATTCATCAGGAATTAACCACGATAGTTTCCAGGGAGAACCGCGAAGAGGTCGACCTGGTTGGGTATATTGCTAGCAATGGGATTCTCAGTCTCCATTACTAACAGTCCCTTTCCCTTCTAAGTATACATACTAGAGGTGGGTAATATTTATATAGCAACATCTTTATATTTTAATTACAATGTCTATATACTAATCCAATAACGAATATGTTAAAAGTCTGTTATCAAAAAAAAAGATTTGGATAACAGACTTGATATATTCGAAAATAGATATTTGACAGATATGGGCGATATCGACATGGGTGATGACCTTTTTCCGCCATCAATGTCCAGATGAATCTAATATGAAGGTATCAGATCGGAATCCATGTTACCAATGCCTAATACATACCTTTTTGTAGTAGAAAATCTTAAAAAATAAAAAAATATGCGTCATAAAAAATATGTTCATACTTTGACATATCAAAGTGTGCAACGTCGTAATTTTCTGTTAGTTTTCAAAAACAATTGAACATTTTTAAATGTTTCCGATTGTTTATTTAAAAAGTGCTTTATTAGCGAACTAAAACTATAATTATAGAAAACAACAACATAACTTCGTTACGTTAAAACGTCTTTCACTGTTATTTTGAATGGAGAGTAGTTATCCAGTTGTCTCTTCACTGTAGACTTTGCAAAGTAGATTCAAACTATCTCTTGCTGTGTACCAGGGGTGGCCGATTTGATTAGACCCAAGATCTACTGTTTACTGACGAAACTCTGTGCCATCTACCAATTACATACTTTTTGAAATCTCAAATTAAATAACATAGTTCAGTACACAATAAAGAAAATATCTTACACTAAACTGTCCAATAATGAGGCCGATTTTGATGTACTATTTTTTTTTTCTCTTGACCTAATATTTTAATTTGATAATTTTGGGAATTTACTGTTTATGGGCCGCCATAAATTTATAATAATTTTGATTTAAATTTATTAGAAAATTATTTCGTATTGGTCGTCACTGATTTTCCTGTATTATTAAATTGAAATTTTAGGGATAGGTTTATAAAAATGACACCTTAGAATCGACTCCATTGTCATTATAGTATCTACAATAAATACCTGTGTTTGTAGGTGTGTATTACTTGCACAATAGTTCTTGAATATGTAGTTTTCGAGCTTAGATTATAGATAAACATTAACTTTAGACCACATCTGGGTCCATTTTACCTATTCATATAATGTGTAATTGTTAGACGTCGTACTTAAAGCGAAATTTGGCCTTTGTAATAAGAAACCCCCGGAGTTTTACTCCAGAGATGTAATGGTAGATACTATAAGTAGTGTGTTTTGTTGAATCTTATTTTCGGGCAGAATTTATTAGGATCACACCTTCGTCCAAAATTATCACCTTATATAAATCAATATGCTTTTCATTTGATATAAAAACAGCAAGTTAATCAGATGGAAATGTATTTAATTTTATATGAAATTGTTCAAGCTATGTATCTAGTTACATATTAATTATAGAAAATAAATATTTTTTTGGTTAGTTGTTTTTTTTTTTTAATTCAAGTTATTCATTTAACGTTAATGCATGCTATGACAACACATGTTTTTTTAATGGATGACAATGGAGTAGTAACCCCATTAGCTTATCGTGATAGATTCACTTTGAATAGAACATGATAGTTTTCAGGGGGAACCGCGAGAAAGTCGCCTGATACACCCTGTATTGCTAACAATGAACGATGGCGATACACCATAAGTAAGAATGAAAAGAAAGGTCAGTTAGTCTATCGTGATGAATACACCTGGAATTCAACACGATGGTTTCAAGGGGGGATCACATGGAGGTCGACCTGGTAGCAATATACCTTATATTGCTAGTGTATTGTACTTGTTCTACGAATATTTATCTAAGACTTCAAATACATAAGGATATAAAGTTTCTGGCATATGTTTTCCCCAAACAAAATCCATATGACTAAACTCCTTTCGGGGTAATATTTGATATTTTACTACATTTGGTAATTGAGACTTCAGAGTGTCGACGTCTTCTACAGTGCCAAAGACGTCATTTTCACCAACAAACAAAGCGGTCTTCGCTTTAACTTTCCCCAGATCAAATTCCGGAGGATCCGTAGCGCCATAAACTTCGAGATTTTTAATTGTACCGTAATCGTAATTAGCAAATTTATTTCTGTTCGCAATTTGGCTTAAGTGATATATACTTTTTATAGAACTTCTAGCTGGATAATGACCAAACACAACGTGTGAGAATTGCGGCTCCGTTTCTTCACTATCGAAACCGGCTCCTGGGATAATAGTGCCATCAAAACAAAGTTCATAACTTCCAACATCTTGGGTGCACGCAACTTCTATAAAATCTTTTAGTGCAGAATTTTCTTTAAACACATCTACAACTCCTAGCGATGTCAGCGCAGAATATATTGGTGTTGCCAATTTAACAGTAACTCCTTTAAATCCCCTTATATGACTTAAATACGCTATGGGAGCTAAGGCAATAAAAACATTGATTTTGTCGTTATATTCAGGTCTCCTTGATCCGAGTACAAAAAAATTCGTAGTTCCTTGAGAATGTCCGATGACTGTCAATTTTTTTTTATCAGTCTGTTGTAACACGAAGTCTATGCAGACACTAGAATCATAATATCCAAATTCGTACAAACTGAAATCCCAGTACTCTTTGTCTTTCTCACAATCCAATGTCTCATGGCCTAACGAATACCTATTACCTCTAAAATTCGCAGCCCATACGTCGTATCCTGCATCAGCTAAAGTGATGGCGAGAGATATATTTCCTCTTATGATGAAAGTATCTGACGAGTCTATTAAACCGTGCATTAAAAGTACAGGTCTACCTTTTCCGGGAATGTGGAATATTGTGAGTATATATTTGTCCTCGGTTGTCACGGAATACTCTTCACATTTTTGTCCATATTTTACAGCGAGCTCAGAAAAGTTGAATTTCCCATCTTCTGATAAGTGACTTTGAAGAGGAGAATATTTATTTATTATTTCTGTAATGTTTATATTAGGTATCACATTTTCAATTGCACTACTAAGAATTGGATCCACTAAGCTGGACTCACATAAAATAGGAAGAACGAATATGACTATAAATTTTTCTTTTACAAGTAGCAACATTATGTAAAATAAAATTAGCTTGCACACTTAGCAGTAATAAATAATTTATTTATTACTGCTAAGTGTGTGTATTTTATCTTTTATATACTTAAATTTTGTGTACTTACGTGATATTTACATATGACTATAAACATGAATATTATTATATAAATGTCTAAAGTACACGCTTCAAAAAAATTCCAAATTTTGTTTGTTTTATATATATATATTATATATATATATATATATATATATATATATATATATATATATATATATATATATATATATATAATATAATATGGTCCCTTACGGGCATTTTTACAAGTGAATAAAATACATGTCATTACAAACATTACAATAAATTAACAAATAAATTTTTATATATTTTATGTCCTCTATAATAATTTTGACCCAAAATAAGTGGATCCGACTGTCGTACTTATTAAATGATGCCTTCAGAATGTAATAGCATTCTTCTGCCACACAGTCGGTGTAATAGAGACGCGATACGTTTGCGCCTAATGTCGGCTAATAAAGTCATCTGTTGATGTTACTGCAAACATTATGGACTAATTACAAAACGTGGCAACCATAACAATACCATGGAAAATTATTTTATTAAACATTTAGAGGCCTGTGTGCCCTCCGTGTATAGTCAACCCACAGGCTGTTCATATAGACAGATTGACAATATGCCTTGAATAATGTTATTTTAACATCAGTTAAACGACCAAACCTGCGATCCAACATATGACCTACAGTCAGCCCCCTTTTTTTTTCGTGTGGAAAATATGCAGCAAGATCGTCTCATCTGCCGAAGGGAGGGCAGCTGAGGTGTGTGAAATTCGTACCCACTAAAAACCACACGACATACCTCGAGGCGTTTATGTTGGATCCCGGGTTCCCGTTTGTATGACTACCGAGTATCCAACACGACGGCCCGCCCTGTAGGTAGTGTAGGGCAGGCCTCCTCTCTTAGTTAGGGTGGGGAATGTCCCTCTAACCCTACCATCACAGGAGGGCACGGATACGTGCGCACACCTCCTAGGGTCATATGTATGGTGTGTCTCCCTCAAGGCAACACCCCGACCCTAGTGGGGGGGGGGGGGGAGAAAGAGGCGGAGTTGGGCACACCCCGTCTCCTTCGTCTGGCTCGGCGGCGGCGCATGACGGGAGCGGTGGGGGTACTCTCCCGCTCCCGCTTCACAGAAGGTGAGCATTGCGTTCCACGACCTCTCGTTACTAACCATCCTCCGAACTATATTCGGCAGCGAGAGGTCATCCCCCACTTCCGCAACCAGGACGCAGCGCTCCGCACTGAACGCTGGGCATTCTTCTAGAACATGTTGCGCTGTGTCCCGGTCGCAACCATACTCATGGCACTCAGTTGTCGGCTCTCTTCTCGCAATCTGACACAGGTACTGACTGAAACAACCGTGACCGGTCAGTATCTGTGTCAGCCGAAAGGTCATTGGACCTTTGCGCCGCCCGTTCACCCAGTGTTTTAGCACTGGGCGAACCGCCTCGACGGTCCTCAGGCCGGCCCCTGGGTCGGCTAGCCTCGCATCCCACTTCTCCAGGAGGATCCGCCGAGCGCAGGACTTCCGTAAACTCATTTCCCTCTCGGTGGGGCACTCGCCCCGGGAACGTCGCTCCGCGCGCCATTTGTAGATCGACGCGCGAGCTTCTGCCTCTAGGTCCCAGGGCGGGAACCCCGCCAGCACACATGCAGCCTCGCAGGAGATGGTAGGATATCCACTCAGGACTCGGATAGTCATGGTCCTCTGTGGCCTGTTGAGGCAGGCACATTCATCCTATTTATGGCTCCCGCCCAGATGGGAGCCCCATATAGGGCCATGGACTGCACCACCGCCATGTGTAGGCGGCGATAGCTATCTTCTGGGCCCCCCAGATTAGGCAGCAGCCAGCTGAGTGCACCAGCCGCCGCCATAAGGACACCACCTGCCGAGGTCAAGCCCCAAGTAACACATGTGAGACTTGACCTCGATTCTGTGTCCACACAGCCAGCCCCCTGCACGTTCAATATAAGCGTTTTTTAATGGATAATTATGGTATGGCTACTTCGCCCGCGTTAACGGTATATATTAGCGGGTCAAGAGTGAAGGATGTTTTAAGAGAAACGGTGTTGCCTATCTCTCGATCACTAAGTTCCCTTAGTAGCTCTTACGCCACCCACAGGAAAGAAAGGAGTGACCCATTCTATGCCAGGATCATACGGCAACGGCAGTGTAAGCATAGGCATCGGTTATAGTACTCAACGAAGGGATGTTTTAAAGCAACAGCCAGGTTTCCTGAACGGCTTTTATAGATATATATAGGGTAACTATAGGGACACAATGTTTAATTATTAATCAACAACTTAAAAAGTTTCACTTGTTCCCCAAATTTTCTTGAGAATGTAATCAATAATGTTGTGTCCTGTATTTCCTTTTTGTATATATAGTGATGTACAGATGAAAGGTACATACTTCTCCACCGCCTTAAAATTTTAATTGTCTGTTACAAATCACATTGCCAATCTTTGAATGAAACGGTTTCTTTTACCTAAGAGTAAATCTTTAAAGTTCAATTTTCATAATTTTTTGCTATATTTCTTTTAATATTTTCTAGATGCGCCACATCTGTCACATACAATATTTTCTATAAAGAAACTGCACATCTATAATTGTGTTATCATGGAATATCGGTGAATCAGACGCTAGTACATCGCTACATTGTGTTTTTAAAGTCGTTGGAGCAACGGGTGGCAGGCCACTACCTGTTTTCTTATCCAATATATCATCTGATTTATGTATTTTTTCATAGACAGAATAAGCACCCCTTTCTTTTCCGTGGGTGTCATAAGAAACTAGTAAGGGAATTTAAAGATCTAGAAACGGCCAGCGTTCCTCTTTAAGACATTACTAAACTACACTGTGGTTGCCAACCCGCCTGCCAAGCGTGTCAACTATTGGCAAAATCCCCTCAATGGTAAATTGCTATAAGATACGCTCCGTTCCTTATGGCAGTCTGTGAGGAAGGCCTATGTTTAGCAGTGAACAGGTAACGGCTAATATGATGAGGATGATTATCTCTGTAAGCGGTATTATTGCTATTATTTAATAATACGCCCGCTATCGGATTTGCAATCTTCACGATATACTCGTAGGTAAATACCCTACTTTTATTGTGATGATATGGTTATCAAAATTATTGACGATCGATGCTTAGCTTCATATTTTTGAGATCCGATCGTAGTTGAATAGAGTAAGTAGGATCGAGTAGAAATAATCTTTATACAAATAGACTTGTTACCAAGCTCTTTTAAATCGTCCATTTTTTGTTCTGCTTAGTTCTGCATGTAGTTATTTGCTGAAAAGAACCCTCAAGAAACTCAGTTACTATTTTCAAATTATTATGTATAAGATAATTTTATATTTGTATTTGTATCGTGACTATAATTAGAATTAATTTCTATTTATAAGTTATATTAAATGGAAAATAAACTAGTCGATTCACTTGTTCTATTGTCAAGTGTAGACTTTTAATAATTTTAAAATAATTTTGCATTGGATCAATATCCTTAAATAATATCCTTATGTGAGGCGTCGATATGACCAATCGTAACGGTAGACATTGACAGACGGGAAATTGATAGTTAACTACGAGGCTGCTATACTTCGTTATGAACGCTCTTAAGTGCTAATCTGGGGTTTATAATAAAAACCCCGGGAATTTTATTCCAGACATGTAATTGTTACGCAGTCATAGCGTGTTTTGTTTGACCGTCCAAAATAATCACCTTATATAAATCAATACACTATTCGTTTATCATTAAAACAGCAAGTAAATCAGATGGAAATGTATTTAATGTTATATGAAATTGTTCAAGCTATGTATCTAGTTACATATTAATTATAGAAAATAAATATCTTGGTTAGTTGTTTTTTCTAATTCAAGTCGTTCATTTAACTTTAATGCATACAACATATAGACAACTACACTAAGGCACTGATTATTATGTTTTATTTTTAATGAACGACAATGGAATGAATGAATAAATGGAACCCCACCTGCGCTAACGGTATACGCTGGCGGTGCACCAGTGAGAGATGATAGGTGAGAATGAAAAGGCAAGTCAATTAGCCCATCGTGACATATTTCGCTAAAATTAACCACGACGGTTTCCAGGGGAACCGCGTGGAGGTCGACCTAATAGGGTGCGTTGCTAGCAATGGGTCAATTAGACCCTATTACTAACAACCCCTTTCCCCCTTCCTGATTACCAAGTACCTTACCTATATATATCAAACTTAGTGTTGAACCCTGAATCTCACTTCCTCCTACTACATGTACTGTATCCTAGTACCACCTGGGAGAGCACTATAAGAGACTTGACAGGGATCAATTCGACTTCGACACGGTCCTCCCTAGAACCCATCGTCGTTAATATGTAGTGAATTTGCCACAATGGGCCAACTGAACCCTTTGTTACATCTTTCACTGGTCCCGTCATAGTATACCATTAGCATAGGCGTATGTATTCCCTTTTATATATCCACTCTCATTCGTTAAAAAAAACACCCAACTGCTTTTTTAGCCCGCTTGTTACAAATAATACAAATCTATCTGTTAATACTAAACTTGTTACTTAATATTACGTTCTATTATTATATATATATATTATATTATTACTTAAAAATAATGTACTAACATTAGGTTTATTAAGTTATACACGCAGTGTTAATGTGAAAGGGTCTGTTATAATGATGAAAATATGCTAGTTAATAAAAATTTTAATAAAAAAAAAAAACACGTTTGTATCGCAGGACGCCATTAGGTACACAGTAAACACGGAAATCAGAGAATGTTAGTGTTGCCAAATTACATTTCCACAATTATCCAAAAACATTTTAGTTGCTATATGTAATTAAAAATATTATTTTCAACACGATGAAATATCAGATGAAGGATGTAAACTGACGTCATAAAAAATAAACTTGACTTACATGAAATTTAATTTTAAAACGAGTAGGTAACAATATTATAACTAAATTCATAGACTAAATTAATTTGTTATTTCTTTAAATACATCTACAATTTCTAGCGATGTCAGCGCAGAATATGGGCTATATTTATATATTAAGCTGTAAAATATAGATATTTTACAGCTTAATAATGGCAAGGCACCGGGGGAAGATGGAATTACAGCAGAGCTTCTGAGAGTGGGTGGAAAACTGGTACTTGTAGTACTTCAGATGCTATTTAAATTCATCATCCATAACGATGTTACGTCCGAGGCGTGGAACAGAAGAGCTGTAGTCCTGCTCTTCAAGAAGGGTGACAATACCCTATTGAATAACTACAGACCAATATCCCTAATGAAACGTCTTACGCGCAACCTCGACGACTTTTAGCTACCCGCAAAATCTGGATACCGAAAGGTCTTTAGCACCATAGACCGCGTACATACGCCACGGCAGATTATATAGAAGACCGAAAAGTATAATCTGCCACTATGTCTGGCGTTTGTAAACTATGAGAAAGCCTTTGATTCGGTCGAGACATGGGCAAAAAAAAATAAACAAAAATTAATTAAACCAATAGTTACAAAATAGTGGGATTTTTTTATTTTTCTAGAAATATTTCTAGAAATATTTCTACGGGGATGACACATTTTATAAATATTTAATAAAATTGGGCATTCCACAGAATACACATAATGTGGCTTTCCGATGGAAATATTTGTTTAGAATTTTCTAACCGTTACTTTTAAAAATTAACCATTTTGTAATAAAATTCAATTCGAATATTTTTTAGTAAGAAGTTTAAACGAAGCCGAAAAAAAATTTACTATGTAGTACATTTTTTTAGATATATATTCATCTCGATTTATATTAATTTCGATCTATGTGAACAACTGTTGCGAGAACAAACAATGTGTTTAGCACCATTGCACGTTGCAGTTTAACGATTTTCGCCTAATTTAGATATCCGTTTAAATATTCGAATGGTATTTGCGATTTATTTAAGTTTTATGATGACAACTGTCGATATTAAGACCTATATCAAAATGTATAGTTAAATAATGATACAGAGTAACTATGATAATAAATTAGGTATGTTAAAATGCCGTTTAAAAAGGGCCACCTTTATGAATAGTATTATACATATTATAGTAATTATATTTAGATAATATCAGTAAAACTAACCCAAATTTGACTAAGTCTGTTATGACGTGAATTAAGGAATGCTGGAAAATTATAGAGAGCTCGAATGATGTGTGAGGTCAGTGCCCGATCTGAGTATTTTGCCGGGGAAAATATTTGCCGCCTTTTAATGTCTAATGCATTATTATCTCAACACAGTGAACTTATTTTGTCCCACTGGGCATTTGCCTGGCGGCGGCCATAGATCGGGCCCTTTGCGACATTTAGATATGCCGAGTATGTGTACTTTTATAATTTATATTTTTAAAAAAAGCTCTTTACAATAAAATTAAATAATTTATCTGACTGCCATATCATAGTGTCATGTCATATCATGTCAGCTTAAGTAATTGCAAAATTATAATCGAACCAACACGAAAGTAAAGATATCTATCGATTGTGAAAATAATTATAAAAATCGGTTCTGAATTGCAGACAAATTGAGAATCTCCTTTTGAAAGTTGCAATCAAGAACCTATTTAGGCGATATGTAGTTTTTTTGTCTACCTTACATTATAAAAGCTTTATATATCACCATTATTACCTATTGTCTAGATTTGACATTTACA